TCGATTCTAGCAGGGGAACCCACAATAATTAGTCGTGTGTTTCTGGAGCTCTCTATGCCTACATGGGTGGCTGCCTTGAAGGCAATAATAAAACATGGTTTGAATTATAGATTTATAAAGCCCAAACAAATAAAACACACACTACTGGATTTATAAACATTATTGAACAAGTAGACAGTGAAATCCTCTTGTTTTTCTCTGAACCTCTTTCATTCAAATCCCATTATATTATTCTTGCTAAGAATAATAATAATAAAAAAAAGACTATGATATAAAAGCTATGTGAGTGGTTGATCTTTCTTAAACATCTCTCTCCATTCTTTATGCAAGCTATTTCCCACAAATCTGAAATCCACAGTGGGAGAGTCTCCCTAGAAAAGCTGGAAGCAGATGTCCTCCATGTAGAAGACTCCGCTGGGCTTTGTCTTGGCTCATGCATACCACAAAACAATGCCTTGGGAGGGCATTCCGCTGAGTATAGGGCCCATGAACAATTACTGGGCGTTAACCTAAAGACACTGGTTCTGTAGTCAAATAAAATCAGAAAACAGGAGATGAAACAAAAAACAAGAGATGTTCTTGTAGCAGAACTTCTCAGAGCTTTAAATAAAGTGAGGTGTGTTTTCTCTCTCTCTCTTTTTTTTTTTTTTTTTGCCAGTATGTGTGCCCCTAACAGAGAGACTGAGAGAGGGAGAAAGCATCCCCTGTATGTGTGCACCTAACAGAGAGAGACTGAGAGAGGGAGAAAGCATCCCCTTGCAATGCGGTATGGTAACCCCTCAACCGATTTTCTCTAGTTTTCCATCTTGTAGGGATTGAGCACAAATGCACACGCATCCAGTTTTTAAAAAGCCACAGGGGACAGGATTTGAACTATAGTGAGCCATGTGGAATCCAGTTTCCTTAACTGCGAGGCTTAAGATGCCAGCCCTGTGTGAATTTCTAAGAGGAAAATATGGTTGGTCTCCTAGACATTTTACTACAGAAGATTCTTTTTTGGTGGGAGAAAAGAAGGTTTTAATATTAATAGAAATTATTTTATTTTTAAAAATCATAGAGAAGACAGCAGAATAATATTTGGATAGTAAAATAGCTTTTTACTCTGATCCTGGCCGAACAAGCAAACAAAAATAATTCTCTATTTAAAAAACATTTGTAAAGAGAAAGGAACTAAAAATAAAGATTTAAAAATTAGTAACATTCATTTACCTTACAGAGTTTATGAACAAAGTTTATGAAATGAAGCTTTCAGTATGAATTTCTAGTTCTTAAAACTGAATACAGTGATAAATTCTGAATCTATAAACCAATATTTGATACTATTAAGCCAACAAGTTACTAAATAGATATCCTCATTAACCTTAGAAAAGCAATACCATTTGATGGAAGACACTCTCCTGGTTATATTTTAAAACATTCAACTTTTCTCTACTTAAAGATAACTGAAATGCTTTAAGATCAATTATTCAATAGGAACTTATTGTTAAAGATCCATAAAATGTGTTACTCAGTAAGAGGAGATATTTCTTTATTAGTGACAATGTTGGCTGGCAAAATAATTACTCTGGCCGTGCTAGGCCCTTTTTTCTTATTCTCTGTAATAGACAATACTTCATAATTTTGTTTCAATATGATAGAACAACACAAGCAATTGCTTAATTGTATTTAAAGAGTTGAGCCCAGCCATAACAGGTATGTAACTATCTAGTCTGTCTGTTGATCACCAGAGAGAGAAAAAGCACCTCCTAATGACGTATGGTCACGTTATCATCCTTCTTCCTCCATTTCTCCAACCTGTCAGGATATTGGTCACTCACACACATACAGACCCAGTGTGAACCTCATGTGCTGGGGCTCGAACTCAAACCATAATCACCCATGTGGGATCATGCATGGGGCTTAACCCATTGTGCTACAGGGCCAGCCCCTCATTATTTGAACTTATTTTTTTAAAGAATTATTTATTTAATTTTCTTTATCATCATTTTTCAATTGTCTATAGGGCACGTGCTCTCACCCGAGAGAGACACAATGAGAGAGAGAAGTAGGGAGAGCGAGATGCATCCCACTAGGTCTTGGACTCAAACTGCAGGTGGCCATGTGGGAATCCAGTGCCTTAATCACTGTGCCACCTGTTGGCCCCACTTGAATATTTAAAATATTTTCGTTAGTTTTTTTCTTTATTCATGTTAGAGGGTGAATGCATGCAAGACAGAGTGAGTGAGAGAGAGATGACCACCTCCAGAGGGTCTGCAAGCTCAATCCCATTCCTTGAGCCCCCCAGCCCATCAGATCCTGAACACTTGTGTGTATGCCTGGCACGTTTAAGGCTTACTGAGGCAGTGACTTGAACCACGGTAGCCATGTATGACTCAGCTTCTCTTGCATTACCACTGCTCTACAGAGCCAGCCTTATCTGTACATTTTTAAAGTGTCAAAATGGAAAATGCAAACTTAACATATATTTAATATCAATGCAAAATATAATCTCAACTAAGTATAAAACTCAATATAATTTTTAAAATTATGTTTCATGCATTTTTTCCATCAGTTAACAGTCAAAAAATACACATAATTATTTTGTATTATCTCCACAGATCAGCTATATGAAGAATTTGAACTCTAAAAAGAAAATCACTTAAGAAATTAAGTTTCTACTATAGCTTATTCCTCACAAATGACATTATCTTAGACTTTCTTGTCAACTACTTTGGCAAATCTATGTACCTAGCTATGTGTAACACTGTGGAGTGTTTCTCTGGAGAAAGACTATGATACGTTAAACTCTAGTTAACAATAGACAATCCATGACTGGTTCCATGGCCTGGTGGTTAAGGGAGTTGGATCTCTCAAGGCCAGCAGTAGTATGAAACCCAGTCATGCTGGCTTAAGAAACACACCTGGCACATGTACATGCATACCCCAAATCCAAATGGGATGGAGAAAGGAAGGGGAAGGGATTGTGGCATGACCATCCCCCCTTGGTAGGTTTTCTCTCTTTCTCTCTCTTTCTTATGCACGTACTCTTCAGCAATTAGAAAAGGAACGGAATGGAATGGAACGGAACGGAACGGAACGGAACGGAAATGAAAGGAAAGGAAAGGAAAGGAAAGGAAAAGGAAAAGGAAAAGGAAAAGGAAAAGGAAAAGGAAAGGAAAGGAAAAGAAAAGAAAAGAAAAGAAAAGAGAAAAGAAGAAAAGAAAAGATCAAACCCTTACCTGCTGCACAGAACAGGTGGAGTCAGGATCTGAGGGGACAGGTCGGGAGCACTCTGAGTATATGTTAAAACCCTGTGAGAACTTAGGCCTTGCTTGGGAGCTGAGTCAGCAGGTTCTGGAAATGGCACAGCGGAAATTTTGTTGACAGGGCTGTTGGCAGGAGTCCCTTGGAGAGGTGAGGAACACGGTGACGACAGAGGTGAAATCTTGGTGAGGGCACCTGAAAAAGAGAGTTATTTGATCTCTAAAGACATTTCTCTGAAATGAAAACCTGCACTTCTGAAGCTTGGCCTCCAAGCCAGTGCGCTCAGGAACAGCTATGTGGTCACTCAGGCCACGTGATCACCAGGCTGGCCTCCTCTGCCTGCCACCATCTGGAGACAGGGTGTGCGGTTGGGGTGTCTCCACAGCATGAAATGTGAGTCATGAATCATCAGGAAAATCTCGGTGGCAGTGTTGGCATATCCTGCTAAAGCCTTGGTGTCCTGGAGTAACTTCAGGACAGAAGGATGTTATTTTCTCCATTTTTGTTTCTTCCTGTCATTCTGACATAAAAATAATAGTTAAAATTCTCTCATATGTTTGACTTCTCTTAGACTGTGAAGTTTCTAGCAGGAACAGGATCTCGTCTGAAACATTAATGTGTATCCGGAGTAGAGTCTGGCAGGCATCAGAGCCTTCAAATGTAAATAAAGAGAAACATTTTAGAAAAGCTATGAACCTTCCTAACCATTCATATTTTCAGTGAAACTATACCTTTTTATATGGAACTGTACTTTGATCAAAATAATTTTTGGAGACCAGTAGATGGCATAATGGTTGTGTCACTGGACTCCCACATGATGGACCAGAATCCAAGTCCTGGATCCAGAAGCTTCAAACTCATGCCTGACATGTGTGTGTATGCCCAAAACTCCAAGAGAAGGGATTGCAGCCATGTAGCAATCCCCCCAGGGGGTGATTCCTTGCTTTGTGTCTCTGAGTCTTTCTCTGTTTCCCTGGTGAACACACGTTCTAAAGAAAACTCTCGAAAAAGAAATTTTTGAAGCAATCACTTAAAAATGTAATATGATCCAGGACCAGCAGTTAGCATAATGGCTATGTCACTGGACTCTCACATAGTCGACCGTGGTTCGAGTCCCGGACCCGGCGACTTAATCTCCCACCGGGCGCGTGTGCGTGCATGCCCAAGATCCCAAGAGGAGAATGGAGGAGAAGGGATTGGGCATGGCCATTTCCCCTGGAGGGTGATTTCTCGCTTTCTGTCTCTCTGTCTCTCTCTCTCTTTCTGGCAAGCGCACGTGCCCTATAGCAAAAAAAAAACCTCTCCAAAAAAAGAAAGAAAAATGTAATATGATTCATTTAAGATCATACACTAGGCCTCAAGTTAACATTTCAGATGTGGGTAATTGTGTCAAACTGCCCTTGTTTTTGCTAGAGTTTGAGAATTTTATGGGACACTAGTTTGGATTTTAAAGTGGTGGTGTTTTGGGACAAAGATGATGTCTTTGTATTGACTCTCTCCAGAACTTACGGAAGATAGTCTACATTTCAAATCAAAAAAGAGAGAAATAACTTCCAAACAACTACCTGCTTTTATGGCTGAACAATCTACTATAAGATTAAATAAGATCATTCAAAGCCGTTCTCCTTTCTCACCACTCAGGGGAAACTGACAGCCATCGCCTTTCACATCCCTGAATGTGTGGTCGCTGGCAGCTGGCTTTGAGCAAAGTTTGCTTCCCAAGTCTGTTTTTCTCACGAGTTCATTTGTCACACCCAAAGGTTTTCTGGTCCACTGAAAAGAATATTAAGCATGTTGAAGGGTTTTTGTAATGTTCTTTTTAAATTTCTTGTTGGCATTATTATTAGTTTAGTTTTAAAAGATGAGAAATCTCATCCCTCCTTTGCTTAAGTGTAGAAAGCAGTTACCCCTCCTAGTCCTTTCCTTAGTATTTCTACTGTGGATTGCTGAAATATGTAGTATCAGCAGATCACCCCGGTGTCATCAGACTTAACAAATGAAGTCACTTAACTCAGATTAAAAAACCTTCCCGGGGCAAGTCCCAGGTTCCCGTATGGGCACATGCTGGCTAAGCTGAGGGTGGTTCATGGTGTGAAGACTCCGTTGGGGGTGGGGAGTGACACTCACTCTCTCTCTCTCTCTCTCTCTCTCTCTCTCGAACATGGAGGAAATAATTAAACTTAAAACAACAAAAACTCTTTGGGGTTACCACACTGCAAAACAGGATGATACGTAGGGAGCTCTGCTATTCTTAGCAAAAGGGGATTATTAGCCCATTATCTATCAAAGACTGCCCAAGGGGGAAGAAAAATCCATGATCAGGTAGGCAGCCTTTGTATTGCTCTCTAAGACATGTCTTCTGGTTTTCTTTCTTTTGTTTTGGAGAGGTTTTCGCTACAGGGCGCATGCGCTCACCAGACAGAGAAAGACAGAGAGACAGAAAGCGAGAAATCACCCCCCAGGGAGGAATGGTCACACTGCAATCCCTTCTCCTCCATTCTCCTCTCGGGATCTTGGGCACGCATGCACACGCGCCTGGCGTGAGTTTTAAGTCACCGGGTCCGGGACGCGACAGCAGTCGACTACGTGGGAGTCCAGCGACACAGCCATTATGCTAACTGCTGGTCCCCTTCTGGTTTTCATTTTTGACTTTATTAAAAAGTTTTAGTGGACCAGCAGGTGGTGTGGTGATTAAGGCGCTGATTTCCCACATGGTTAACCCCAGTTCGAGTGCCCGACCCAGTGGTCTGAAACTCATAATAGGCACTTGTGTATGACCAAAATTCTGAGAAAAAAATAAAGGAGAAGGGATTGCAGCATGGCCACTCTCCTTGGGAGTGATTTCTCACTTTCTTTCTCTGTGTGTCTCCCCCAAGTACGCACACTCTATAGCAAAAATCTCTCTCTCTAAAAAAACAAAACAAAACAAACAAAATAAAACAAAACAAAAACAACAAAAAAAAACAAAAACAAAAAAACATTTTAGCTATTTTACCAAAGATAATTGACAAATCTTCACGTTATACAGTCTCCTGAACCAAAAGAAAATTAAATCCACTAAATTTTTAACTCAGTTTCCCAACCAATACAAGTACATTACAAGTATCCTGGGATGTACTAATTGTCATACATTTTTAATTATTTTTTTATTTGAAAGCTACAGAATAAATTAAGTTTAAATGTTATCTCTAATATTTATATTTTCTCATTATAACTCTATAAAATAAAGAAATTTTTTTCACCAAGCACTAAATCTCTTCCCATTTCTCCATTGCTATATAACATCATAACCAGAAATATTATTATGGGTTATGGATTCAGAAACCCTTACCTGAAACTGTTGGGGCCAAAGTTTTTCTAAGTTTTTAGATTTGGGAGTATTCGCAATATATATAATGAGATAGCTACATGGTGAGACTCACGTCCAAACATAAAAGTAATTTATCCTCCATATATACCATATATCAGAGTCAGAAGGTAAAATAGAGTTTTTGTATTGCAGTGCTTTGACTGTGGTCAATCCATTCATTACATGTGGTCTGGTGATGAGTTTTCTATGTATGTCATATCAGTGATGAAAAAGTTTTGGATTTTGGATCATTTTGGATTTTTGAAGTAGGCACGCTCAACCTGTAAATATATCTGAGTGTTCTGATGAAAACAAACAAACAAACAAACAAACAAAAGGTTGAGAAGGGCTGGTCCCATTGAGATTAGTTTTGGGATTAAGGGAGAGATTCCAGATCATCTTAGAAAACAAATGTAACAATCAAGGAGAAGAATCCTGACATGATGTGATAAAAAGACTCTCAAGGTATTTATACTGAATGAGTACCTCAGTGATTTATTCATTCAACAAGTAATGACTGCGTGCTCTGTTCCAGGGAGTCAATGAGCAGCAAAATCAAGTCCCTGCTTTTATGGACCCACCCATTCTTTTGGGAGAGCCAGAAACTAAAAAAATAATGATCAATAAAGAAAAAAAAAAAAGAAAATTAGTTCTGTAATTTCAAGTAATTAAAGAAAAATAATGAAGAGGATAGAAAACAGAGAAGGCCCGAATGCTCTTTAGGTAAGATGGTTTGGAGGGCTTTGAGAGGGTAGGAGGGGTGGTAAAATTTGAACAGGCTTGAAAAAATTGGGAAGCTATTTTGCCAAGTACCTGGGGAATGCATGTTCTAGAAACAGGGACCTACTTAGCGGGTGTCAGAGGATTGGTTAGGAGGTCCGCAGCGGGTAGCTTAGCAGAGAGGGAGAAGAGGGATAGGGAAGGTGGTCAGAGAAGCTACCGGGCAAGGCAGGACTGGCCTGTGGAAGCCCATGGCAAAGTTTTAATTGCTGTGCCTTTAAAAAAAAGATTCTTGATAGGCGCTGCTTTGGAGAATTTCTTAATTATTTTGATAATGAATTGTGAGTTTCTGGACAGTTTCTACCACTTTTGTACAGAATTGTGGCTCAAAGCCCATGGGAATGTTGGTCATTTCTGTCTTGGCACAATACATTTGTAAAGGCAATTCATGAGAAGAGGGATTTTATTTACGTTACTAATTTTCAGTCGCTGCCAGCTGATAGCCTCAGAGGCATGCAATTCACTCTGAAATACAAATTTTAAAATCCCACACCATTTTAGCATTCTTGAAATTCATGTGCTAACTGAATTTAAATAAATAAGCAGATTTTAAGACTAAACTTGCTGCCTCGGATGAAATTTGTTAACACAGGAGAAGTGCTTTGATTCTATAACACTGCTAGCCTCGTATTTTGAACACTTCTAACAGCAAAAATCTCAGCTATGACCATGAGAAGCAGAGGTACTTTTATTGTGTAGGTGAGAAGATAAAGGTATAACATATGAATTCCTTTTTATCAAAAACAAACTACTATAACTGCCAGTGTGTGTGTGTGTATAAAATGTCATTTAAAGTTCAACACACAGAAAGGATTAGGAATGCTAAAGACAGTGGATACCTTTTTATACATATTAGTATATATAAATAGAGACATGAATGCAGATTATAACCAAATTTTTTTTCTAGGAAGGACAGGCAACAAATAAATAATTTCAGACACAGGAAGAGGCTTCTCCAAGTTAATAAGAAGAATAATTTTCACTGCATGTCTTAAAATGAGATTTGCTAAAATGCTATAAGTGTAATCATGTCTAAAATTAAAGGGATGACTATTGTGACCTATGA